AGCTACAAAATGTAATACCTTGGAAAATGCCGTTTAATACTTTTTAATAGCCTTCATTTTCGCTAAATTGATTTATCAACTTTTAATACTTTTTAAGACCCCGCGGACACCCTGTTTCAACGTGTAGCTGTAATTATTCAGAGTGTTTCCACAGTGGAATACCATGTCTTCTCTTCCAGGTTTGAGGGTCAGTGAGTGTGTTTTGGCACTGATACACCAGAGTGTCTTAACGCTGCCCACTGTGCTCAGTACTGTTCTGATCCCCCCCCCACTCCACAACCTTGCAGCAAAGAGCACAAAGCCCTGGGAAATCTCTGCAAAGCCCAGATCGCTGCAGCACGGAGGGAATGCTAAACATGTCGCAGCGACATTCGTATTCCAACGTGCCCTTGAGCGGAGGATCTGATTGGCTAGAATGCTCGGCAGGTATGGGGAAGTGGACTTTCCAAAACGTGTCCGTGGAAAGAACTGATTTGCATTCTTACGAAATAAGGGTTGAGCTGAGGGAACTTAAGGGAGAAAGAAAGAGAGACAGCAGACAGCAATCTGAACATCATATCTAGCGAAGAATCATATTGTGTTGTTCAATCCTGTTGAACTGATTCCTCTCTGTGGTATGAGGATTCTCTGGAAGACAGCGTTCCCGTACATTTTCACTTGTCAGAACTTTTTGAATGAAGTCTCACATCCCTATTCAACACACACACACACACACACACACACACACACACACACACACACACACACACACACACACACATCCACACACAACACACACACACACACACACACACACACACACACACACACACACACACACACAACACACACACACACACACACACACACACACACACACACACCACACACACACACACACACACACACACACACACACACACACACACACACACACACACACACACACACACACACACACACACACACACACAACACACACACACCACACACACACACACACACACACACACACCACACACACACACACACACACACACACACAACACACACACACACACACACACACACACACACACACACACACACACACACACACCACACACACACACACACACACACACACACACACACACACAACTTGGGGAGTGTCTCCAAGGCCATGCAGTTTATGAGTTGTTTGTCCCAACAAGAAAGTGAGGCAGAGGCGAGAAAGTTTCAATGATATACTCTGAAAAGGCATTAAATGTTCGGTCTAGTATAAACTTGCAAACATAAACTAAACTGTGTTTGGAAACTGTCAGAGGTTGTGTACAGGATTACGTGTTCACAGAAACAAGTTATATATTTACTGTTCACTCCTTAGAAATGACTTTGGAGGCTCTGAGAGTTGCCAAACCACCCTTCAAACTGTATGTAGTCAGTCCTATCAAAACGTTAATACAATACTAAAAAGCTAAATCCTCGCTTGCGAATATTTCATACCAGCAACGTGAGTTTGAGAACTGTTCAACACTTGTTCAATACAAGGTTTGAGTACATTTACGCAGGCAGAAGACCAACTATCAGGATCATACTAAACCAGATGAGTTTCTTGCAGTCAGTTTATTGTTAATTGTGAATTTAAGTTTCCTCGTAGTATAGTAAAGGTGCGTATAAGTCCAGGGCGTTTATTGTGAAATATTACAGAGGATGTGGTAGTTCTTGTAGGATGAACAAAGTTTGTTGTTATAATTCAGACTACGGAGTCTCTGTACATGTACGTTTTATTATATGTCTTTTCCACACAACATGATCGGTTGATGCCTTTATTTGCACTGAAAAAACTTTTAAAAAATAGACCTGATTCCATAAAGTTAAAATACTGAGTGAAAGTATGCAAGACAAAAACACAGTTTGAAAACAAACATAGACTTGCAAATGAAATTGCAATCTAACGCAGCGTCCACACGGCGGCGTGCGTTGAAGCTTGCCAGCGGGCGTGTCTGAAACTCAACCAACAACCAATCAGATGAATCTCCCGCCCCGGACACACAAGCACGCGGTTTGATTGGCTAGAGCTTGTACTGGCATATGATTTGATTGGCTGACGCTTCCGTCGAAGCTTCAAACGTTGAACATTGCTCAACTTTTGAACCGAGCAAAGCGAAGCGACGGAACCACAATGCAGTTCGGCAAAGCGTGACGTCACCCCATTCAAAGTGAATGGGCAGAAGCGTTGAAGCTTCAACGCACGCCGCCGTGTGGACGGGCCGTAAGAGTATTTGTTTTAAACTTATTTGCACAACTTTAATACCCCTGTACTACTGTACTAGGAGACAAACTATTTTGTATTAAATGTACAGTTGGTGTTTGGGTACTGGACCTTATTGCGATGACAGGGAGGCGTTGCAGCATCCTTTAAAGTGAAGCGGCTGAAAAGAGCTTCAGTTTAACGTTTCCACAGCGGCTGCCAAAGCCCTGACACCGACACCTCACTGCAGCATGGATACACTCACAAAGAGGAGAAACAGTCCAACAA